ACCAACAGATAAGGCTGGTAAAGGTGACAATTGTGTATGCTCTCCTAGGGTGTCTAGACAATGAATAGCAATTAAGTGATCTTAGGCAAAGAGTAATTTTGATTTGAGAAAGACCACTCTGACAGCACTTTGAGAGTGGGGAATGGAAAGGGGAAAGACAGGAAGTAGAAAGCCTTAGAAAGATCTTGTGATTGTTTAGTTTAGAGATGATGAATGCTTGAAGTAAGACGTGTAGGCAGAATAAAGTAGACTTTAAAAAATATTCAAGATGCCAAAACTGAAATTTAAGTGCTTCAGACAAAGGGATGTTTGTTCACTGATGCATCCCCAACACCTAGAACAGTGCCTGCCACAAGTTAACACTCATTAAATGTACGCTGGATTCTGGGAAGATGGCAGTTCACTGTAGTTTTTGACTCTTCCTAAATGTCCCTTAAAGACAGGAGTAACAATTAAAATTGCAAAGTCAAAAACCCACAGATGCCTAAATCAGAACAAAATCACCTTAACTGCAACCCAAATGTACCCCCAAACCTATGGATTGGGAACCACTGATAGCTAAAATCATCAGACGGTGTTACTATCTACGAGGGGGGAAATAGGAGGAAGGACCTGGTGCTCCAAATCAGAGAATCCGATATCACAAATGCATACTTACTAGGAAGCTCAGTTGACCAATCTGAGACTATAGCAACCAAAACTGGAACAGCAATCTATAGAAACCAACTACTGAGGGAGTATAAAGAGACTAGGGCAAGGTCTGATGATGATGGGATGTGATGGGATCCATGATAACGGAAAATAACCTACAAATTCTCCTTCCCAGGACAAATACTGTACAGAAAAGATGGCTCCAGGAATAGAATCCATACTGATCAGGACAGAACAGCTGGGACAAAGAAAAGAGAAGGTGGGGAAAAAAAGTGAAAATTAAAAACACATGATTACACAAGTCCTGGAACAAAAGGAAAATACCAAGTAAAATTGGAGAATTAAAAAAATAATAATAATGAAAAAAATTGTGATAACTAGAACATGATATATCAGAATACTGGTCCAAATGCTTTTATCAGAGGACATTTTATAGCATTCAATTTTTAAGACAAACATATAACTCAAAAAAGCAGGACAAAGAAAACCTGAATTAAATAAAAGAGAAAGAAAAAATTAATGATTAAAACAGAAATTTAAAAGTTGGAAAAGAGGAAAACTAATCCAAAAGCCGGTTTTATAAAAACAGGAAAAAGTCACTAATTAACAGGACTAAGAGACAAATGAAGAAAACAAACATTATTTGAGGCAAAATAATCTTCAAAAGTGAGAAAAAATTTAAGTATCATAAAAGTTTACTTTGTATATCTATTAAAATACTTTTAAAAATCTGAATGAAATTGATAGTTTTTTTTAATAAAAAACTAATATTAAGTCTAATTAAGTTAAAAAGTTAGAGATCAGTTCCCAGAGAAGCAACAGAGAAAACAATAGAAAGCTACTCCACAAACAAAAACAAAACAAAACAAGGCACTAAATCTGGAGATCTTCATAGGAAATTGTTTCCAACCTTTTAAGGGTCAGGTCATGAAAATGTTAGTTAAACTATCCCAGAAAAAAATTGGGCAAACTTTCATATTTGTTATGTGAGGAAATATATGATCAGTTCTCCAAACCTGACAAGGACACCATCAAAACATACAAAACTACAGACTATTCTTCTGTATAAAAATGGATGTAACAAACAAACAAACAAAAATGGATGTAACAACCAAAGTGAAATGCTAGGAAACAAAATACAGTGGCATGTTAAAAAATAAAACACACTTATTTAGGTTGTGAGGATGTTGATGAAATAAGCCATATAAAGTGGCAAGAATAAAACCTTGCACAAAGTAAAGGTGCAACTACTGTTAGTCATGATTATTAGTCATCACAGATTGGACAAGTGAGATTATTAAAGGACATGAGGAAGAAATCAAGGAACATCAATGCTTAACTAGCTGCTAGAGAACAAACTTAGAAAATTCGCATTTCCCAATCTCAAAACTCACTACAAAGCTACAGTAAACAAGACTGTGTGACACTGACATAAGGATAGACCTCAATCAATGGGAGAGAATTGAGAGTCCAAAAATAAACCCTTACATTTATGGTCAATTTATTTTCAAGAAGGGTGCCAAGACAATTTAGTGAGGAGAGAATGGTCTTTTCAACAAATCATGCTGGGATAAGTGGACTTCCACCAGCAGAAGAATGAAGATGGACCCCTAGGGCCACCACATATAAAAACTGACTCAGGAGGTAAATCTTTGTGATCTTGGATCAGGCAATGGTTTCTTGGAGATGTCTAAAGCATAAGCAACCAAAGAAAAACAGAGAGAAATTTAACGACATCAAAATTTAAAAATTTGAGCTTCAAAGGGTACTACCAAGAAAGTGAAAAAACCCCATATATTAGGTGAAAATATTTGCAAATCATGATCTGATAAGTCTAATGTACGGAATATAAAAACTCCTGCAACTTCACAATTAAGAAAGCAAACAGCTCAATTTATAAATTTGGCAAATAATTTGGTTTTTTTCCCCCAACTTTTCAATAGCCAAATATCTTTCATTGGTAATGTTATTAAGCGTATATTTTGCAGAAGAGGAAAAACGTCCACAAGACGGTAAAAGAAAACAAAATGCCAGGACCCTCTCACCCATTCATTTCCTCTGAAAAAATCCACAGGGAGAAAATGAGCATTCCTGTATTACAGATGATGATACCGTGGTTCAGAGAGGTTCGCGGGCCTTCTCACTTTTACCCCTGCCAAGTTCCTCGCCCATGTGGTGTAGTAATCATCCACGCTTTCCTACCTCACCAGTCCTCATCAAAGCCCAGCACACTTCAGCTCTGCTTCCCACACCATCACCATCGCTCCTGCGCCTCTGTGGGCCCCTGGTGCGTCAGTCACCAGTCCTGAGCGCGGGAGGAGCTGCCCGGGTCCCTCCGGAGTTGTGGGACGCCCACGGTGGGCGCCAGCGCCGCAGAAGAGCCCAGTGGCGGTGGGAGCCCGGGGATGGGGGGAGTTGGGGGGGCAGATCCTGGGCATCCCAGCGGGCAGCTGGACATTCCCCCTCCAGCTCTGGATCAGCACTTCTACTCAACGCCTTCAAGGCGGAGGGCGGCGGTCAGGCGGTCAATGGGGACCCCATGGGTGGCCTGGCAACTCCGCCCACCCACCCAAAGGGCAAATAGTTTGAATAGGAATTTCTCCAAATAAGATATACAAATGACTACTCAGCACATGAAAAGATGTTCAACATGATTAGTAATTAGGGAAATACCGACCAAAACCACAATGGATGGCCCTTCATGCCCACCAGAATGGCTTAGATCAATAGGACGGACGATATAGCAAGTGCTGTGGAAGATGTAGAGAAATTGCAAGCTTCATACGCTGCTGGTGCGAAAGAAAACTAGTGCAGCCACCTTGGAAAACCGCTTAGCTGTTCCTCACAAAGTTAAATCTAGAGTTCCATATGACCCAGAAATTAAACTCTTAGGTATACACACAAGAGAACTGAAAACACACGCACACAAAAGCTTGTACACAGATGGTCACAAGAGTATTATTCATATTAACCAAAAGCGGAAACAACTCAAATGCCCATCAGTTTATGAATGGGTAAACAAAAAGTCCATACAATAGGATATTATTCAACCATAACAAGTAAGGAAATACTGATTTATGGTACAACATAGACAAATCTTGAAAACATTACACTAAGTGAAAGAAGCCAGATACAAAAGGCCACATATGTATGATTCTGCTTTTATGAAATGCTCAGAATGGGTCGATCCTTAGAGACGGAAAGTAGATTAGCATTACCAGGGGCTGGGGGAAGCGATTAATTGGGATCAACCGCTAACTGTTACAGGATGTCTTTTGGGTTAATGAAAGTATTCTGGAATTGGATGGTTGTACAACTTTGCGAATATACAGAGACTACTGAATTGTACACTTTTAAAAAGTGAATTTTATTGGGTTATAGCTCAACAAAATAAAATCCGGCAGGCCACAAAAAGCTACAAAATGGATTAAAAGGGAATTGTTGAAAATTTAGTAAATTTTTAATAACTCTAGAATCCAGGTGGCAGGTGAATGGTTGTACCCTATACAAGTCCTTTGACCTTTTCTTTATGTTTAAAATTCTTACCAAAAAATGTTTGTGAAGTAATTGACCAGAAACAGTTTTTTTAAAAAATAAATACGAAGCAGTCATCAGGGTCAGTGCAACAGAGAGACTTCAAGGAATTTAGAAATTAGGAAGAGAACTTTATGCAAAGCAAACTCAATGCACAGGATCCGTGTTGCCCATGAGGATGAGGCAGGGGAGAAACAGGAGACACTGAGCGTAGGCCACTGGACTTGGCCTAGAGCCTTGCTTCTTTTTTTTCTTTTAATCTTATTATGTTATGTTAATCACCATACATTACATCATTATTTTTTGATGCAGTGTTCCATGATTCATTGTTTGCATATAACACTCAGTGCTGGCATTAATTCACCTTTAAATGAGACCCTCCTAAAACCCTCCCCAATCTCCCTACCTTCTCCTGTTCCCATCCTATCTTCATCCTCTCCTTTCTCATTCGCTAAGTGTTCATTCAGTATGTTAACTATGTTTTATCACTATCAGTGTCACGCATTTTAATTATTTGTATATGTGTCTTTCACTCCTAAAAGACTGAGATCCTCAAGGGCTGTTGTCATTTCCTATAGATCTGTGGATCTGCCCTCCAGGTCTAATCTTGTTTCTGCCACTTTGTTGGTACTAAAGAAAAACAGCGTTTGAGGATAAGGCTATCTAAGAGGAGCCATTCAACTGTGTAAGAACAGTGAATCAAAATTAATTTAAAGTGCAGAATCAGGACAATTATAAAATATACTTATAAAAATGAGAGTAATAATATGGCCCATAATAACATTAATATCATTTTTGTTGAAATACAAACAATCTAGAGACAAGTGGAAAAAATAATTTATTGCAGATTCTCTTACACATGAACATGGGACATTTATACATATTTAGATGTGCTGATATGAAATGCTAAATTTAAAGACAAACATTTTTACACAAAAGTAGTTGCACTATATTTTATAAAGGTAGGTATTAATAAATTATCAGAGATATTTAAGAACAATAGGCCAATTATTCCAATAGGAATGCTTTCTATGTCAAATTTAAAGTAACTTTTCTGAACATGGCCTGGATATAATCACATTCTTCCAAGTTAAGAAAAAGAAGCTCATTTCTGGAAATAAAGGCCAGAAATGGCTCTTTCAGGAGTATCCCAGCAGTGTCTCCAATTTTATTCTTGGATGTGGTTAGAGCGCCTCACATTTATCCTAGGCTAATGTAATAGCTCAGTGTGAAACAGAACAGCTTTTTATAACAGCTGCATGTGGATAATGAGATTTAATACAAGGGATATAGTACAAATGATAGAATTTTAGAGGAATTATAATGCCACATGATTTGAGTGAGCAACCAAATACTTTGGTAACAGAAATGTGCATCCTCTATTTTTGAAGGAAAATGAGCACAATTCAAAATAGTCACTATTTTCTTAGCATGGTATATTAATTCTTATTTTGGGAATCTGAAAATAAATGGCATTTTTTTTTCCTAAAACTTAGAATTCACTCCTTTATAAAATGATTTCTATAATGATGTACACCAACATGATATAAACTTTGTTCTATGTTATTATAGTCATGAAAATATACATAGACATATACACGGAACACTAAGCAGATTTGGTAAGCCATGATATGATATATACACATGACCAAATACTGTTCAGTGTCACTTAATTAAATTCAACAAATATTTATTGGGTGCCTACCACTTGCAAATTACCATGCTCGGCAATGCTTGTGGTAGATCTTAAGACACAGGAAGCTCACATCATTCACATCTAAAGCCAAACTTCAGGTAATATACTAAACCTTGAAAATAATCAAAAGCAGAGCTAAGGTTGAGTAATGAATCATGAAAGCTATACCGAGGAGAAAGGCTTGGGATAACTGCAAAAGACAAAGCGAATCTGTATCCACAGGGAATAATGGCTCCCAGGCTTGGCGTGTGACAGTGGACAACAAAAGCCCATTCTGCCATCTTCTTCATCCCACAGTCTAACATTCAGTCATCATCCTGGGTTGTTTCCTTTAAAAAGTGGAATAAACAGGGATTCATTTTCAGTGATAATAAAGCTAGTAGTATCCCCTAAAATATTTTCTTTCTTTTTTTTTCCTTCAGACAGAAGTGTGATCTGCATTCACATCTGTTCTTCTGTCCTCCTACCCTAATTCTGGGTGAAACAGGGCCACCCACCTAAAATGAGCAACACTTGAGGTAGAGTTTAATTTATCAGAAGAACATCCGTAAGCATGCCAACACCACAAGTAAACTATTTAAAGTAAAAAGAGCAGAAAGAAGATAAAGACAAATATTTTAAAATTTGGCATTCCATTCCCTTTAGGACTTAGGCTCTACCAGCATTTTTAGGGGATGTATGCATACGGAAAAAAGAAATAATCAGCGAGTCTCACAGCCCTCTGAAGAACCAATACATCAACAGGGGAACAAAGTATCAAACTCGCTCCTGATGCAGCGCACTGCATTTGGGAACAGAGGCGGCATGACCTTGGTGTGTGCAAGCCTGGTGGGAGTCGGGATTCCGGGTCGGAGGGCCAGTGTCTGAGGACTGTTCTAGCACATGGCTTCCAGCTAGAGTAAGACCATAGCACTAGCATGAAGCTGAGGCTCCCTTACACAATCATTCAGGTTCGGGAAGATTATAAATTGCTCTTCTTTCTAGGAAAAATGCCCAAGGGACTAGGATGTCTAAAGATCACCAAACATTCCACAGAGAGATGGCTTGACCCTCGGAAGGATCCGAAGCTTCATGATGAAGAAAACTCCCATAAATTGTGGTCCTGACTGCCCAGTGGTGACCTCAGAATGGCTTAGGGAGCTAAGGAAAGAGGCCGGGGAGTCTCTCAGAGCCCTCTCACCTCAGCCGTGTTTGAGCCAGATTATGGCGGAAGAACAAAAACAAAACAAACAAACAAAACAGGTCTTCCCCATCTGGTGCTTTTGGTTTTAATTTCATTAGAGGACAAAAGCCGGCAACCATAAAGTATCCCCTAAGAAGTTTTTATTGTTCTAACTGGCTCATTAATGTTTCAGTATTTCCGCTACTTTATTTGAAAGTTCATTTCTGTAAACAAGAGTTCTTTTCAAATAAAACATATTCTCAGTGATTATAATTTAGCTCTCTCTATATTTTATTTATTTATTTATTTTTAGCTGTCTATATTTATATTCTGTCTTTTAAAAAAAGGAATTGCATGCTGTTTAGTCATACCTCTGTTCCTGTATTTTTTCTGGAAAGAAACCAAACTTGCATTGGCTCTTTTTTGCCCTTCATGGACACAGGGCCTCGGTGCTCCAAATGGAACTGTGGATCTGAGTTTTCTGGTGTCATAAGACATCTAAAGGACAGGGGACAGGGAATAGGGAGAGACATATGCAGTATGGTTGCATGGAGAAAGTGACATGAACCTAAATTAGAAATAGAGACAATAATGACACACACTAAAGTTTTATTTAAAAGTAACACAAGGTTTTAGTAACAATGATCATATAGGGAATTCCTAAAGTGGTGTGAAATCATTAAAAGTGGGGGTAATGATCCAGTCTTCTCAAATAAGAAATAAACAATCCGAAGAGCATTAAGTGATGACTGCTTATTTTTTTAAAGATTTTATTTATTTATTTATTTATTTATTTATTTATCTATCTATCTATCTATTTGACAGAGAGAAAGAAAACAAGCAGCAGGAGTGGCAGGCAGAGGGAGAGAGAGAAGCAGGCTCCCCGCTGAGTTGGGAGCCTCACTCCAGGCTCGATCCCAGGACCCTGAGATTATGACCTGAGCAGAAGGCAGACCCTTAACCAACTGAGCCACCCAGGCGCCCCATGACGACTATTTAAAAATAACAAAATCACTGAGAGTTAAGCCACACGTAAAGAGACATTTTTCTTGCAAATCAGTAAATACTAAGACATGTTTTCTTACCTGTATGTATATTCAGACACATTTATTTTTCCTTTTTCTCCAGTGGTTTCTGTTCTGCTTGTGAGGTTAACGGTATTTCCAAAAAGGCAATATCGAGGCATCCTCTGCCCTATGACACCAGTAACTACCTCTCCAGTGTGTATCCCTATTGTGATCTGCAGAAATCAAAACTTTGTTTCAATAAGTTCCATCACCAAAACACTAATTTTTGATTACTTCATATTACAGAATGTGGAGTCATCATATAAAAATCGTAAGAATTCTCTAGAACTCTGAGTGTATTACAGCATATTTATAAAATAGAAGAACTCCAAGCATATTTATAAAAATAAAAAACCCTCACAAAATCTGTCTTCCAAGAGAAACATTCTTTCTCTAAAGTCTGAAGATTTCAAAGATATGAATCTGGTAACTTGTATGAGACACAGGAAAAGAGATTTTAAAAAATAAACCAGAAAGGACAGGAAGTTTTATCTCATCCTCATGATTTCAGCACATGAAATAGACTAGGTAATTTCAAATAGGTGGACAGATTTCCCATCTCTATGAAAAAATGGAATACAATGGGTTTGAAAAAGATTATATACAGTCTTTGTTCTCAAGGAGTCTTTCCTTATACATAATTAATAATTGCCTGGTAAAAAATGTGAGTCAGATGTCCACAAAGGTCTACTACTACTATTATAATATCTATTTTATTTACTAACCTGAACAGATTCGCCATCCACTTGAACCTGACCAGCAATTTCCATCATGTCCAAGGCCAGGTGGCAAATGGATCGTGCATGGTGGATGCACGGCTCTGGTAAACCACTCACTGTCATATACTTATCACCAACTGTCTCCACCTAACACAGCACATATAATTTACATGTTCATTGGTTAGAATACACATTACCGTTTCATTTACTACCTTTATATATAAACAATGTTTTTCCAAGGCTACCAATAGCTTTAAACTTTCCTTCTCTGAATTCTTTTAAAATTCTAGTGCATTCAACTCCAATAAGATGAAACCTTGTAATTATTTCAAATTTACACACTGGCACTTGAGGTCTTTGATTACAGGCAGGTACAGACACAGCATTATTCTTTCCCTAATAATTCCTGGTTTCTCGCCCCAGATACCTTACAATTCAATAGGACATTTAATTACCAATAACTCCCTAAAATTATGATGAGTTACAGCACAAGAGCTACTGCCCAAAGCCCAGTGATTTATCACGTTCATTAACCATTTATATTTTGATGTGCTCACAAAGTGTTCCAGTGTACCTCAGAAAACCACTCTAAAATAGACAGTTTTTGTGGCACTCCTATTACTCCAGATGCCTGGAGATGGTTTAGTTAACATTCTTGCTTTTATGAAGCAATATAATCCCCTGACTTCAGTTTTCCAATATTATCGCTGTTTTTAATTGAAACAAAGGGCAGAAATGCCTTATAAATGTTTATCTTCAAGTCAGTGTTATCTAAAAGCAGATCAGAGTCCCCAGTTCCCTTCTCCTGCTCTCCGACTTCTTTCCTAGGCAAAGCATTTATCTATTTCAGTAAAAATGTCTCCTGCAGAGCGCTACAACGAATGTTACGTTTATATTACGTGTGATAAACGACCTGCGCAGATTCATTAATGTAAGTGCAAATGAGCTGCTGAACATTTCATTTTCACCAGGGGATCATCAGTGCTATTCCTTTCGGTTACCAGGAAGAGAAAGTTTTGTAACAAGAGGGAATTATTTGAGAAAATGGTAAACCGGGAATACACGGAGGCTGGCTGCAGCATGGCTACAGGGCTAGCCTCAGAGAAGATGCCTGCAGTGCCCCTGAGTGTTAGGGTCCCAGAATTCAGACTCGGAGGAGCCCCGCATTAGGATACGATCTGGACTTGCCTTATAAACAAATGGATTTTTCCGGGAGTCAGTCAGTGTGTCAAATCTGGTGTAGAGGTCATTGAGGAGGTTTACAATCTTCATGGCCCCTTCCCCAGATGCATGCTTGCTACAGAAAGCATTGAAGCCCACAATGCCACTAAAGAGGATGGTCACATTGTCGTATCTTTTGGCAGGCACCGGACGCTTGTGTCTCAGCTCATTGGCGACAGACGGAGGGAGGACAGAATACAACAACCTGTTCAGTTCAGCGGGGTGGGGAAAAAGCCACAGTAAGAGATGCTGGGAAGAGCTTTAGTGCTTCTACTGTCCACCTCCTAAAGCTTTGATGTCATGTGTCCTGTAAAATCCTCGAGTGGTAATAGGACACCCATTACTGGCCGTATATGTAAGCGAGGTATCAAAGATACTGAAATTTATTTGTTTTAATCACATACAACATCTCCACACACAAACCAGTTCACGCCAAATGAAAATAAGCCTAACAAATAAATGGGCAAAGCGGAAGACTGGCCATAGGACGGCAAAGTTTTCATCTGTGGGACTGAATTCCGACCTGCCATTATGGTTCACAGTATGAAAGCTGTCATCACGAGCACTTAAAATGCTGTCTGCGCAGCATAATACCAGGACTACGTTTATCTCTTAGGATTAAGAAATCTACCTGAATTTGTGTAAATAATATTAAAAGAAGTAGATTTCTGGGCGCCTGGGTGGCTCAGTCGGTTAAGCGTCTGCCTTCAGCTCAGGTCATGATCCCGGGGTCCTCAGATCCAGTCCCTCATCGGGCTCCCTGCTCAGCGGGGAGCTTGCTTTTCCCTCTCCCTCTGCTCCTCACCCCTGCTCGTGCTCTCTCTCTCACTCACTCTCTCTCTCTCTCTGTCAAATAAATAAATTAAAATCTTAAAAAAAAAAAAAAAGGAGATTTCTCTTCAGTTTCATGCATGCCTCACTCCTCCATGGAAGAAACTGATAAAACAGATGAAGATTGGACTAGACAAGAAAATATTGTATTTCTATAGGTAATACGGAGATTACTCTGATGGCTTCAGGGATTACACTGAGGGACAAGTGTGGTAAGCACAATAGGAAGGGGATGAGAGCCAAGGGTTGACAGGAGAGAAGCAGAAGCGAGGGCAACCGATGTCTCTTGGCATGAGGACCCAGCAGAACAAATGATACTCTGCTTTTTTCTTCCCTGTAGCCAGAGGGCATTCCGTGCTAAGTTTAATCTTACAGGCTTCATAAAATATGTTATTTTCAGGGATGAAGTTGTACCACTCACTAATCAAACCTACAGTTTGAACTGCTTTTCAAACAGGGGGAGGAATTTGAGCTGCCTGCCCTATATACTTTCTGAAATTTGCAAAATACCTGGATAGATTAAGTAGTCCACTTAGGGCCACAAGGAAAGTGAAGAGGTCTCCAAGAAACTAAGCATATCTTAGTCCAGACAAGTGAATTAAGAAGCTAAGGATAAAGCAAAAGGAAAGAGAGAGAGGCTTTCAAGCAGACTCTCCATTGAGCACGGAGCCCAAAGTGGGGCTCGATCTCACAACCCTGAGATCACGACTGAGCCGAAACCAAGAGTCCAACCCTGAACTGACTGAGCCATCCAGGTGCCCCAGTTATTAATCCTTGTTATTAATACATAGTTCATTGATGTGTTTATGTGTTGACACAGCATTCATCCAAGGGCAGCTACACATGTATCAATGGAAAGAAAAGTATAGAAAGTGATGCTGTTACCAATACCTGGGTGTTCAAGAAGAATGAAATAGTTCTTATGGGAAGTAAGACAGATCAGTTCAATTTTCCAACAAGACAGTTGCCAATTATAAAGCGTTAAGAATGAACACACAAGACCCTGGGTAAAATCACTTATGAACATCCAGTGATTTAGTGCCTTTAACTAGGGTATGCAAACAAAGCCAAGTAGTATGCACACTGCATATTCAAATGAATTACTTGAAAATTAAGTATTATCTTTTTTTTTTTTTTTTAGGTTTTCTTTTCTCCCATGACAGGGAAAACTATTGGTATGAAATGATCAGATCATCCCACCAAATTTGTGGGTTTGCATATATCCATTTTGACTCTAAAAGTTCATACAAAGATACTAACATAGCATTTTAATTTATTAAAATTCTAACTATTAACTTTATTTTGTTCAGAAGCATGCACAAAAGACATAATTTTATTCCTTAAGTTTCAATTATATCATGTACCTTTTTTGGAGTTATTGAAACTTAAGGAAGTATTATCTTTAATGCTACTTGTCCAATTTTTCACAATTTAATCCACCATTCATAGAAAATAGTAGTTTTAGATTCTGTTACTTTTTTTTAAAGATTTATTTATTTATTTGAGAGAGAGAGAAAACACATGGGGGTGAAGGGGGCAAAAGGAAAGAGAGAGAGGCTTTCAAGCAGACTCTCCGTTGAGCACGGAGCCCAAAGTGGGGCTCGATCTCACAACCCTGAGATCACGACTGAGCTGAAACCAAGAGTCCGACCCTGAACTGACTGAGCCATCCAGGTGCCCCAGATTTTATTTTTGTTAACATATGTCATTACAGATGTAATTGTTGTGATTACAAATGACATCACAGTCTGTCAAATTCATATCTGCCAAGCCCTAAAATAACCTAGACTCCGAGAAATCTTTTAAAAGACAATGGCCAGTTCTAAGTACAGTGTTCAATGTAACCCTCAGAACCCAGGCAGCCCCTGGCACACAGAGGATGCTCAGGACACAGCTCTCCCATGAAGGAAGGAATGAATAGAGAATTCAACATTAAATACGCATTTGAATTATTATACTGATTTTCCGAGAGAGCTATTTTGGCATCTGTTCTTTCAACATGGTTTATAAAAATAGAAGACATATTTCCACTACCATTAAGACTGATTTATTTCTGTACGTATAATTTCTTTTAAGTGACATGGAAGGTTTTATTTACTACTCCAGAGCTACAGTGGGCTCCATGCCCCTTTGGTGTGGTGATCAGACTTAACTGTAGCTGAGTCACATTATATGATGCCCTTCCTTCACCACGAGGTTACATTCTTACGTGTCTGTCTTTTTCTTTTCATCTTCCAAGGCTCTTAACGTGAGCTGCAGCCTGTCTGTGAGGATTTCCAGTTCTTGGGTCAGTTTGTATTCCTCTCTGAATTGTTCTCCCAAAAGAACGAGATCACGTGTGGCATCGTGCAGAGGGATGTCACTCAGATACAGACCTCTCCTTGTCAGATCGTCCAGATTCATCACACTGTTATACAGGGAAATGAGGCAAAATCAGTGCCAACTTGTCTGCATGATAATCCTGAGCCTAATGACTGTCAAGGAGTATAACTCTGTCATCTCCTTCTATTCAATTCCTCCTACCCATTCAATAGATCAGGTTAAAGACAAGAAAATTTGGAGTCACATGAAGACTATGATTTCATTCTCTTACATATTTAAAAATCTATCAAAAACATATATTTTGCCAAATCACACTTTTAGATGCCATCAGCCTAAATTGAAAGATAAGGTAGAAACCCGTCCCATGCCTCCTGATCAGGTATTTATCACAAGGCTGTTATTCACTGCTATCACATTTTCCTCTCGTTATAAAGAGATGAAGAAAAATTTCTTTTTACCCTCTGTAACAGGGATGATAGTGCTTCTTTTGAGAAACCAGTTCATTTTGGCCTTAAGGATTCTTTGACTCTTGTAACTGGTTACTTTTCCTTTTTAGATGCAATGATTAAAAGTTTATAATCAGATTTATGACCTGATGTATTTTATATATTTATGACTTTTTGACATGTATTTTATGTGCTACTCTTCCTTCTGGTTCTAATTTCTTCTACTACTCTTCTTTTCTTGGAAAATTTTTCTCATTTTTGAAACATTATTTAATCTTGCTAGATTTTATGCATCTCTGTAACCTAAGTTATTTTTACCTAAGTTATTTTTAGAATAGCATACTAATACTTATTGATTCAGTGATGATCTGGTAAGTGACTGCTTTTTAAAACTTTATTCTTTGGTTAAAATATCTTAAGGTTATGTTATTGGTTTAAATTTTTTAAATACAAAGTAATTACTTCTGGGCATTCCCAATAAGAATTTCTTTAAAATGACATAACAAGTTTTGACTTTACTGAAGAATTTTGGATTGATAAAATGTCTCTTGTTTTACGTTCTCAACAGAAATGTCCAAAATCAAAACAAAAATTAGCATGTCAATATAGAAAAATAAAATGGTCAAAGAGTTAACTAATGAAACACATGGTCTCTTTAGATTTTGTTAAAATGCATATGTATGTTAAAGCTCACTTTCAGAAAAGACCCATCTGAAAAGAGGTCAGATCATCTGCTAAATGATATAAAAGACCTACCCAAGAGCAGAGAAAAAAAGATTATAATCTTAAAATGAAAATGGCTGAAAATGCTCATATTGAGTTAGGAAACAATCAAATTATGTCTCACTCTTTTAAAAATTATTTTAATGGACTATTAACATTTTTTTCCTAAAGTTAAACTAATCGTCTTGAAATTATTTACTTTACAAGTAAAACTGCTTTTAGGTGATCTCATTTAATGTAAGTACAAATCTTTCTATACACATGGACAGGTACAATATAACAAACTGTGAATATGTCACTATGTGAATTTCTGCATATGGCAATTAACAAAAAGACTCCAAATTGTCTGCTTCTGTTTCCAAAGAGAACTTTATCTCCATGAACAGAAATTGTCCCTACTGAAAAGCTGTCGTTCTACTAAAGCTCAACTGGAAAAGAGGCAGAAGAAACAAACACTTACAGCAGATGAAGATACAGTAGATCAATGTAGGTGACTAATTAAAAAATATAAAGAATTTATGTTCTCTAATTTTGTCTCTTTTATTTTTATGATACATATTCTCAGGAAAAAGAGTCATTAGTCTTATGTAGTCTTTAATAGTGTATTAAAGGAAGTTGTACAAAGTTCCTTATATTTTTCAGAGATTTTAAGGCAGTATCTTTAAATGAAAAGTGATCATGGTGAACTTTAAATTTTTAGCCAAAAGCTCACCAAAACATGCTTGATTGAATGTGTTACTAAATAATGTGTATAGCTTTCAGTTATACAAAGTTATAAATACACAAAATATCACCTAACAAGTTCCAGTTACCTTTTTCTATTTTTCTAGGTAAATGTAGATATATTTTTCTTATTGTGAGTTCCCATGCATCTTTTAGTAAAATGGTTTGTCAAACTGGAAAAACAGCATCCTACAGTTTTACTTCCCTCTGATGTTTATTATAAATAACATAATTTACATAAATTTCAATGTAATACTATATTTTAAATAGTGAATCCTGATTAAAGTTGCTGTATATTTTTGATATAAAATAGTTCAAATCCAGAAATAATTTTAAAAAGTAATTTCTCAGTGCCAAACATATCCATGTATTCATGCCCTCATAGTGGATGCTCTACAGAATTGCTTTTCTATATGACACCTTTTTGGAAGGTATAAAGCTATAGAATTAGCTACCTGCAGATTAGATTTTTCCATGATCTAATGGCATAAACACTCAGCAGACTGATTAAGACAGGACAAATAAAAAAGAATACATGATTTCTTCTGAGCTTATTACAAATGTGAAATGAAATTATCTGTTATAGAGAGGTATATAAACAAGGTTGTAAAATCTAATTATACTTAGAACATGGAGACATGATTAAATAAAATGTTATTGAATTTCTCTGTTAGCTAAAGATGGGTACTTATAGCCATTATAATTAATCTAAAAAATGATTACCTTGGTGAACACAGAAAAAGTATGCTATCTGCTTCAGGTAAGTAGATCATTTGACCCTTGAGACGTAAGCAGCTGATCTCAGTCCCAGTCAGTTCATCTTCACATTCTAATTTCTCTACATCCAACAATCCTTCCTTGAAAAGGCAAGACATAACCATTAACTAGTACCTTTCTCCCTACCTAACAACTCAGCAAAAAAGCAGGACACGCATGCTTCATTTCCCACCAAACCATAAGGGAGAATAAATGCACCAAGTAGATGAGGAAGGGCATTTCACCAAAATGGTACTAGGTAGTAAGCAAAGTTGGCTACCTGGCAAACACTGCAGGAAAACGAATTGACTAGCTCCTTGAAACCCAGAAAGACAATAGCTGTACTTCTGTTGGCATATTTGTTTAAAGCTTCCATGAATCGTATTTCTGATTTTCTAGTATGGCTACAGCACATAATACTAAGTTCTAGCAAAGAATAAACCAAGCGTCTCCAGTCCCCATGCGTGGATTCACAGAACAGCTGGGAGTAGTTCCAAGTACATAAAGTACATGTGGGTAAGGCCTTTGCGAGGGCTGCAGGAAGGTCAAGATGCGTACTCTACGACACTTTTGCTATACCAATCTGAAGAATGGAAACTATGAGATCTGGGTGCTACCTAAATAATCAACTGAATGAATATGTTTTCACTTTTATTTTCCCACAAAAATGGCATGAAGAATAATAGACAATTTAAGGAAGAATTAAATCAGGGCTTTGGTTGAAGTTTAAAAACATTTTCTTTGTCAGTTTTGATTTCTAAAATAGCACATGGTAGCTTTAGGGAGTAAAAGATGTTTGTTTTATTATGTGAAACTGACCTGTCCCGATGAGACAGTCTCAAAACTTATTTTTGTTAATTCTGATCAGTTGATAATGGTTCCACTGGCCCTCAGGCAAACCAAAAATCAGTACCATTGCCTTTGAAATAGGACTCCCTCTGAGGTTTTGGTTGGGATCTGTCTCTACCTTCTCCATATCATAGAATGGTAGAGTAGCTAACTTTCCCTCAGGATCACTTCTAATTTGTAACATCCCTTACTCAATCACATTGAAAGAAATAACATCTTGATTACCTTGCTTCTCAATACGAAAACCGTATTGATGTGTGAAAGGATCCCATGGAAACTAATGTCAATATGAGGACGAACGAGAGAGAAGACAGACAACAGGCTGCAGTTCCCAGGCTGGAGCTACAATGTAGATGGAAAGAAAAGAACATGTGATTAGCTGAAATAATTCTTTTGATTTGAGATTAGATTAAGCCAGCTCAAAAAGACTTAAAAATAGAAAACCATAATCATTTGGTAGGGGAATTGCCTCAACTATGGACTCCTCTCTTGACCTATGTCACTCGGCAATCAAATGGGCATTATATCGTTGCATGAACACGAAACCTAATATGGCTTCAGAGCATTCATATTCAAATATAAGCTAATATAAGTAAGGGAAGCATTTTCAAAGAAGGAAGAAAAGAAACGTGTCTTTTTTTTTT